GGAATTGATTAAATTAACAAACTAAGACCTAAGGGTGGAATGAATGATAGACTTGTCTAGTGGCTGCTAATCAATTAAGGACAGAACTGACTGAACTGAGAAACTAAGACCTAATGCTGGAATGAACTGTAGACTGGTCTGATTCCTCCAGTGAGGTACTATTAGCAGGCCACGAGTCTTGAGTTCCATCATTGCAACTTTGCTTCCCAGATCTCTTTCAATAAATATCTCCTCCAATTTAAAGGTTACCCAAGCAGATGGAGAACAACGAATGAATTGAAGTTCCTGTGTTTCTAGTTCTGATTAGGCAGACACAAGCCATCCTTTCAACAAAGATCTTTTCTGCAGATGAGTGTTCTTGGAATAGATCTATTAGAATGTCCTCATCACTTCTAACTGGCTAGGATTGTCTTGACTTAGTAGTGCTACCTTAGTTACCAAAGGAAACCTGATTTGCGTTAATGATCACACAATGCAAGAAAACACTTTTTGAAGGAAGAGAAGGTGATAATCGTAACAGTAACATTCCCTTTTCTTCCGTTTATGGAAATGCAACGTTCATGTAATCTTTTTTATTTTCCATTACTTTCAGTTAACTTTTCACCACTGGGGGAAATTAGCCTTTTCTACAACACCAAGCTTTTGCTCTGACCTTGAAAACACAGCAGTGAGGAGAGAACAATAACTAGACTTATCTCAGAAAGCTTGAAGCCAAGAAACTTGTTTTTCCCCAAAAGCCAACTTTAGAAGTAGTGACTAGACTAGACGCTCCAAATCACAGGCACAGGACTGAGCTGTAGATTTTCAAATGATGTAAAAAAGCAAAAAAAAAATATCTTCAGGCAAATTGGATGCTTAATGTGTCAAGCTGTGCTAAAGAAATTGATTGTGTTGATAATGCAGCAGTATTCACGATGTGAGCTAATGCTCCTCTGCTAGTACAGGCTGGAAGGCGTTCTGCTGTACTCATCTCCAGTGCAGCTGGCTCCCCACATACATTAAAGTGCTGATTAGGCCTCGCTGGCAGTGCGGGTGCAGAGAACTGATCTGCTCTCTTTGCAGTGCATAAGCAGTGCTGGTACTTGGTCCAGGGGTCGATCATTTCCAGGTAGTTTTCAGAAGCTGTGCTGCAAGCGACGACAGAGGTGAAAAGAAGCTGCTGCCCTTGAAGAAAGGCTGACAAATGCTCTGGATTTCACAGAGCAAGAGCTGATTCATCACCGGGAGGAGTGACCCTGGACGTATGACACAAGGGGCGTGTCTCTCCACTCTTTGTCGTTCTGCAAAGATGATGGTGAAAGTCATCTCCACAGGTGCTCTGAGAAAGAGCATCTTTATTGGACAGAGCAGGGGATCCCCTGATAGCTCAGGACCAGGCTGCGGCCCTGTTTCTGCTTAACACACAAAACCTATCAACGTTTCGTGAAAAGTGGACATTTCAGCCAAGACTGGGCTTGTGTGTTTTAATACAACAGAGCTGGTGGGTCACGTACCGATGGAAAAGGAAAAAAAACAGGTTTCTTAGAGTGTGCTGTGCCCCTTTGTTCAAGACTAATTATGTAATATTTAGTTAAAATGCTGTGTTGTGATGTTAATATTTGATTTCAAGTTTTATTGTTTCCTTCAACAACAAATAAACAACACACATATGTTGCCATAAACAGCTCTGCGTTTCGCACAATCAATGTCATTTTTAGGATTTCTGTCTGATTTTGAATCGTTGTGCACAACAGGCACACACCCCTTCTCATACGGGAATAGAAGGTTTTCTAATCAAGATGTAGAGAAAGCAAAACTGCAGATGGTCAGACTGCGTGTGAGATAACAACCGAAATCGATCTTTTTATCTTTTATGTCATGCAGTAACACAAGTCCAGGAACCAATTACTCTGGCCTCAGTGAGCCCTAACTAATTTCTCCAATTTTTAAAGTTTTCTCTTTGTTGTAAAATGAAGAAGGAAAAGCGAATTATACAGATGGGCCTTTTTAGATAAAATAATAAGCTCACTCTTGTGCAGCCTTTCCAATTTCCCAGGCCCACATCCCCAATTAACGCTAATAGTTTGTGCCTGAATAATTGCAGAAATCCCTCCCCTCCCAGTCTTCTGCAATCCTGACACTTAAGTGCTGGAGACGCTTGTCTGAGCCCAGGACTCGTTTATTTTTATTTGTATCCCACCCCACTAAATTCCTCTGCAGGTCTCTCAGCCGGAACAGTCCCGGACATTGTGATAGGGTAGGTCTGCTGGCTTCCTGTCTGCTCCATAATGGCTCAATCAGGAGCTATTTGGATGGGAAGCAGATATCCAAACTCGTTCGTCTTTGATCCCGACACCTCTGCTTCCAGGGTGCCACACAACGTCTCACTCAGTGGGGAGCAGTGCAGAACGGTTTCTTCCAGTGTCCCCACAAATCTGCACAGGACGAGCCTCCTTATTCATCATAAAGAACCCTAAATAGAGAGGACAACAAGTGTGGGTACTCGTGTCTTCCTTAACTGATATTCACTGGGCTCTTATTGGTGTTTCTTTTTACAGGCCTCCCGTGGATCAGACCCGTGGAGCTCATGAAAACAAAGTGCCTTCTTCCTCGTTCTCGGTGATTTGCAGGCGAGTGATGCTGGTTCAGACTCACGGAGAGCGACACGGGAAAGCCGAGACTCTGGGAGACCGAGTGTTGGAAAGCAAAGGTCAGCCTCTCTGTGTGGGAGTCCCCCCTAACCCCTGAGTGGAGGGGCATTATCGCAGCAGGTGCCCCATTGAAATAACAGAACAAAAGCCCTGGGTCTGTGATTGCATCTTCTGAATCCTCCCAGGTTTCATTGAGATGCCAAAATGTCCTCACCTGCAGGCTTGTACCTTAGTCACAATCTTCATGCTGGAAATGGGATTCATAAATTAATAACATCAGCTGCATTTCTCAAATAATGCCGGAGTAAAAATAGACCCAACTGCAACAGTAAGAATGATGGTGCAGCATGGGGCTCATATCCAAAGATGACGATTTGATGTTGTTACCTTCCTTCGGTATCACTGCTGGAGTAACAGAGTGAAAGCAGGTGCGATGCTGTTTACATGAAGCTGTTGAGATTTAGGGAGGGGGTATTCCTTAAATAAATCTAGTTGTTCTTTCCAAGTTCAAGGAGAAAACATTTTTTTAAAGAAATCAATTATGGTTCAAAACAGAAAGCAAGCAATAAGCAAGATTTCCATGAAGGTGGAAATCTTTACAGACGCTCCCAGCTCCAGGTTTTTGCCCCGTGTCCCGTTCCTAGCTCTCGAGGGCGACTCCTGGGTGCTTGGCATGTTTTCACGGCTCTAGTCCTCAAACTCGGCCCTGTCTGCGGCGGCGCACAGGGAGGTGGGACACCACTGACCTGTCGTGGCTGATCTGAGAGGAGGTTGCGACCCTGCCTAGCAACAAGAGAAGGGGTTCCCCCTGCAGTGTTCCAGGGGCTGGCTTGTGTGTTGCTTGTAAGAGTCAGCTCTTGGAAGTCAGATTTTCATCACTATTCAACGCGGTTCCCAATAAAACAAGGTAGTAGAGTATCAGCAGGACCTGGCTTTAAAATATTGCTTTGATTGATAAAAGACCCCCCGTAAAAGAGCTCTGACTTTCTTTGGGAAAGATGTTTTATTTTTGACCCAGTGGAACTGCCTCATCAAAGACGTGCTTTCTTTTGAAATAGTAATTGATATGGAAAGTCTTGCAGTCACCAGGGTGAATGGTATCGTGTAAATCAACCTCACCAAAAATCACATCAAATTTTTGACGTGGAACTTTGCAGGAGTGAAGTGAAAAATGAGATGGTTGCAACGTATTTAATGATGCTGGAACAGTTAAAGCCATATATTATTACATATTTACTGGGAGATGTCACAGGTCTCTTAAATAAAAGCATGCACTAACATGACCTCTTGAAAGAGGTTAAATAGGAAATAAAGGAGGAATCCAGTAGTCAGTGATACAGTTGTTGAGAAAGATACCTGCACCCATATTCGGAAAGTTTACTGCAATCTACAATGGTATGAACAGAGTAAGTGTAGTAAAGACCAGCAGTGGGGTCATGCTGAAGCACAGGGAGGCAAGTCAAAGCATGATACAAACTGAAACTGTGGGGGTAACGATGAAAATACAGTGCAGACGTACAATGTCTGTATATCATTCGGGACATCAATCTTTTTTCCTACTGCCTGAATACCTGAGGGTGGTTTCTAGGCTCTGTTCAGTTAATAGAGTTACAGATCTAAACCTGTGCTTATCGCACTTGTAAAAGCCAAGCAGCTGATTGCCTGTGGTGCAGCATCATTTCTAACATAATTGAAAGCAGTTTGTGCAAGCCAACAAAGCAAAAGAGAGAAGGAATAGGCTTTTTAGCAACTTACTTCATGTTCTGCTGCTCTACGATAGTTTCAGTTAATGACCTCTGAAACATATACATATCTTCTGATGCCATCAGTGACCATTGCCAACGGAGGAAGCCCACTGAAGCAATGAGAATTTATTTCCACCCATTGTCACAGCAAATGGGTAATCATTAAACCTCATTTTGAGGATCACAGAGGTGACTTGTCAGAAAGGTCAGTGCAGGAGTAGAACGTAAATGGGGCATATTATACCACAATCGGTGTGCCTGAGGGATGATTACTATGGTACTCAGTGGTGTTCCCATGGTCTTTTGAAGTAAGGGTCTGTGCTTCAATAAAGTGCCCTGCATACTGTATATCGAAGAATATTTGAAAAACAAAGTATCAGGCATGGCTACTCTTTTCCTTAATTAGTCAATTTCCTTCAGTTCAGGTGTTTTGTGCAGCAACCTTAAGAAAACCTAGGGAGTAAATCACACTTATTATCCCTGAAGCTGACCACAAGACTTAGTTCATTAATAAAATGTTGGGAAAAGTAGCAGAGTATACAGCAAGTTACTTCTGTATAGACATACTGTAAGTAAATACAAAGACAGTCCATAAAATGAAAACAAAAAGAAGAAAAAACACTTATGCGGGAGTTGCTAGATTTTAATATTTTTAGTAGAGAGAAGAACAGATTTTTCACGCCTTTTAATTAAGAAAAGTATCTAAGTGGAACTGGCCCAGTTCGGTGTGTTTCTCTTCAGCTCTGCAGGCTGGCTTTAATCTTGGAGCTTGCTTCATTAAGAGTTTCTTGGTTTTGTTCCTGGCAAGAGAGCAGCGGGGGACTCTCCTTTAAGATCTGAGCTCTGAAAACTCCTTAGAAAATGCAGATGAGCTGCGGCAGAGTGGGTGAAATCAGCCGGGGAGTCTGAGGAAAAACAAAACTGTCAACCAGAACTACTTCTTCCACAGGAGCAGAGAAACGACACAGTCAGGCAGGGCGGATGGGAAAGGCTGTTCTCTGGAGGTTTGTTAGCTGTGGTACACGCACTGCTGTGACTGGAATTATTTACTAACCCAGAGCAGCAGCAATCTGTTTATTGATCCAAAATTCTGCTCTCCTCTGTCTGTTCTCAAAACGAAAGGTCTGGCCATCAAGGGTTACGGGGGTACTGACTATCACCAGAATGAGGATACAAAGAACAGAACTAGAGTCAGCACATGACAGGTCTCCTAAAGCTACACGTAAACCTTCAAATTAAGTGTAAACTACAGATATCCATCATGACCAAACAGTGTTCCATCTGGCTCAGTGCTGTGACATTACCCACAGTGCACCTACAATGTACTCTAATAATGGGGCAGCCTTTTACATTTAAAAAAAGGGAGAGATTATTTCACCCTTTAATTAAGAGGGAACTTTGAGGAGGACAGTTTAAACAAGACCAAAGTGGGATATCAGCAGGATACAGTTTTTTTACACCCCTGCTCTTACAAAGTGCCATCTTCAATAATAAAACAGTCAGAACTCTGGTTTAGCATCACCTGAAGAAGGGCACCACCTACAGCAGAGTGCCCCTCTCATTGTAATGGGGCCTCGGTTAGGAAGTTCTGATCCAGAGAAAAGATCCCCCCAGACTGGTCCATCAGCTTCTAAGGAAGAATGCCTTAACAAATGATACAGGAGTGCACACAGTATAGGAGGTCTTCATAATTAGTCATTGAAGTACTGTCCTAAATCTTTTACCTGTGTTTATCATGTTCTGCAGCCTGCTTCACTGTGTCTAAAATAAGTATGATACCTGAAATAAAAGGAACAAGTTAACTTGCTATCAGGCATCTCATCTGTCTTTCATACTTATACATATATTTGTACAACACACCAGGGGCTAAATACTGTAAATGAACACCCCACGCAGCTTCTCAGGTTGTAAAAGTGATATGGAATGGACCTGAAGTTTACACTTGAACTTGCTGAAGACATAAGACACAGCAATGACACAATGATTCACTTCTCACCTCTCACCACTAACTTGCTGTTTGCTGAAGTACTGCTGGTACACTTTGCACACAAAGGTATAAAAATTCCCCAGTGATTTGTGAAAACCCACTGAGAGGACTGGCTGCTGCGACTCTGACTGCACTCGTTACCAAGCAAACATCACCAAGACTCCGACTGTCCATCTGATGTGGCGCTGATGCTCCCTGCACAACAAACACCTCCTTGTATCCTGGCAACAAAGCCTCTTGTTCTTCAGAAGCCTGACGAGAACAAGGCTTTGTACTGCTGACACTTGACAGGAATTGATTGATTGTGCCCGGGTCTCAGCTCTGGGGAAGGCAAGGGTTAAATAACACACTTATTTATAACAAAAATGCATAAGCCAAAACTCTTTCTTTTGCTGTTGAACTAAAAACAGTCAAAAAAACATTGTGCAAGTTGACCTATGTTCACTAATTAAAATGTAATTAATGCTTTCATTACGCCCACTGTAGATGTTAATAGATATAATACTTGACTCACATTGGGAATGTTTTTCATTCCAGATGCACATCATATTTATTTAATTTCCAGGCCTTTGATCATGCAGATGCATAAATATCCTCACATATGCTGAATGCTATATACTGTATATAACCCTTAACATTGTGCACAGTAAAGGCAAAAAAAAACAACAAAAACAAATGAAGGCTTTTTATTTTCTGTTTTTTTTAAAGGGGAATAACTTCCATACCATGAAGCTGGGGTCTCTATTGCTTTGAAACACATAAATATATATATTTTTTTTTAATCTGGGAAGAGGAATTGGTGCCTGAAATACGAAATGTGCTTCCATTTTTAAAACAGAATAACATTTTAAAGTGCGATAAAATGAGAAACTGTATTAATTATCGGATTATTGACTACTAGTGACTAATATCACGTACAGTATGTGCCAACGTCCCACGGCCCTGAGCTACAATTCTTTAACGTATTTAAGCAAAGAGAGGTTTTAATTGTCACTTGGCTGTGTGCCTCCTAATAAAGTTTAAAGTTGGAGTATCACCCCGAGGAAAAGCAGAGTAACGCGTGGCAAGGCCGAGTGGAGCCGCGATGAAAGCACGCAGCACGAAGACAACGCGGAAAACGCGTGGAAATCGCGTAATGACACCCCGCTGCATATTTTCATAAGGTCTGGTTTTGTGAAACGTCGTATTTTCTTACGTTACTGAATTACACGCAGCAGTGTAAAAGTGAATAAACCTCAGGAGCGGAGGGTCGCGGGTTCAAATTCCCGGTGGGGGGCGCCATTATGCCCTTGAGTACGACGCTTCGCTTGGAGAGCTTCAGTAAAGTGCCCTGCACACAAAACCTGAAGTATCGGGTGTGGCTGCAGTTTCTCTTAATTAGGCAATTGCCTTCAAAGCGCTCAGCCCGTTTTGTGCGGCATCTTTAGACTCAAGAAACACTTCAGAATAAAATCAAACATATTATTTCTGCAGCTGACCACATGACCTCGGTCTATAAAACGCTAGACAAGCAGCAGAAACATATCGTCTTTAACCGATTGCTCCCGTTGAGTTAGTTATTTGTCCAATATTGGTGGCATATTTGTAAATGCATTCAAATAATACCCTGTACAAACCATCGTGCAGTTGCAATACAGGGAGAAACCAAACCAGACCCTCTAACCCCAACCCCTCTCCAACATGAAAACTATTAATGTATGTCATTTAATCCATGTTTGCTCTCCAATGTTAAAAGAAAAACAATGAGCTAAAGCAATACAGAGTCTATTAATCTATGAACACATCAGCCCGTGGAGCGACAGCCAAATTCGCTCCAAACCATCTCGGCCACGGTGTCACAGCGGAGTGAGCTGAGCCAGCACCACTTCTGTGAACGTAAATTTCAACAAAAAGACTTTCGATCCACGTTTCCATTTCCATCTGCCCGCAAACGAAGAAATAGCAATTGGCGGTTCAGTTCCGCCAACGGCAAATACAGCGCTTTAGGTTTGACATATCACATGGAAGAGAAATCGGTACAAGAAAAACAACGTTGCCCCCTTGGTACCTACAGTATATGCTGAAATATCGCCCTGGATAACTCGACTCTGTAATTGGAGCGCAGTGGTACTATTCCCGAGCCACGCTGAATTGCTTGAGAAGAAAGAGACTTCTTTCTCAGAGGCTTGTAATTTACTGTTGCTGTGTTGTAATTATGCTAATTCTAGCAACCCACACTGTACAATTATAATGTCACAACTTCGGTGCAAATGAAAGCAATGAAAAGTCTTTTCAGAGAGTCTAAAAGCACATTACGTCTGTGCTTCTGTTAAGTGTGTGATGACTAGAATGAAAGAGAGGTACTCAAAAGAAATAACATTTTAATTAATTTCTTCCCCAATTCTACATTTCCTATGGTTATAAGCGATTTTTGTTGGTTATTCACATTGAGAAAATGTATACTGTCAATGTCTATCTTAATCATTCATGTTACCTAGTGTTAACTTGCAGTAGATGTTTGTTCTCTTTTCACTGAATCTATATTTTATTTCTGAGTAACAAGGTGAGGTAAGCACAGATCAATAAGTTCACACACGAACTACGAAATATAGCTAACCACCCCCCAGTAATTATAAATGACATCAAAAGGAACAGATACAAGTGTGCCAAGGTCTAATGATTAAACTTAGACACGTTGAGATATGATTTTCCTGGAAAGTGAGCACTTGTAACAAGAGCTGTGTCCACGAGGTAGAGGAAGGACCCTGTGCGTTGTTCTGAGACTTTCAGGAGATCGTTGGGTACTTTTCCAAATCGTGGGGCTTCAATATCCCGGGAAGTGGAGGGCTTGGTAATTAGTGTAGTGTCTTGATTGGATAATTGATCAGCGCGCTGGCGCTTGCTGGAATTACCCATAGCTGTGGTCGGTTTAGCGAAAGGTCGTTCACGGTTGATGGTGGACGTGACAGCACTGACCTTTCCACAGTTCTCTTAAAATTGTGCAAAGAAATGTATTTCCGCTTGGCTGGATTATCAAACAATCAAGAGAAATTCCTCTTGTTTTCTTAATGTATTGTTTTTTTCTGCCCTGGCAGATCTGAAGTGCTGGTATTTTTTGTCTTCCTTTACTTCCAGAGTTCCTGTGTGAAACATGCATGTGTGAGACACGCATAATATGTACTGTAAGTTATGCCACCTCCAACTTCCTGCGCTGTATTGCTTCGGAATTGTGGTAACATCTGTCAATTAGGCATCAGGCTGAATGGTTGCCAGATGCTTTTGTATGAGAAGAAACTGTTTTTAGTCTATTTCTTGGGAAACATTAAATTCCATTTGAATGTGTTAAGTGTTTTTTTTATCCATCCTGTCCCGGCAAGGTGCAAGGTAGGTTACACCCTGGGCAGGACACCAGTCTATCCCATGGCACACACAGACACGATTAAAGCAAGCACGTAAGAAGTATATGTACAATTTTACAAAAGGCTTCTTTATTCATTACTGTGATTGGAAAACTGAAGTCCTCATGGTCTGTAACAATCAATCAATTAATTCTCAAATATTGTATTTTAACAGTATTTTAGTGTTCCATCTTGGACAGAAATATTAATCATCCTATAAGGGAGTCTACTTCTGAGTGGAGGTTGTGGTGAATGTGCTGCAGAGCAGCTCTGTCATTCCTAGTCTTTATTTCGAAAACCACACAGCCTTTCATCTGAAGACAGACCTATAGCAACATGTTGACGATAGCAGCTGTTTATATAGTAGGGGCTATAAAATTAAGGACACTAAACTACAGAGACCTGCCTGTATCAGAGTGTCTGAATTCTTGATAGTGAACTGGTACAGCAGTGGCAAAACACTAAGCACAAAATAGAGGACATTCAGCCACCCCAGTATCCAGCAGCTTGCAAGACCCCCTGTCCGTGATGAAAATGTTCAAGTAATGTAGACAGACAAGGTATTGTTTATTGACTCTTAATATCCTCATTTTTAGGAAGCTGCTTGACATTGGTGCTTTTCTGGAGTCTATACCAGAAGCCCAGGGAGCAGCACAGAACAGAGAGCAAATTACTGCTCTTACTGAGTCCATTTGAGTCCATCTCAAATTCGAACCCAGGACCCTGAAGCTGGGAGCCATACGACTGTGTCTCTTGCTTTAAATATCCCTGAAAGGTAAGACTTGTTAGAGATAAAACATTTAAATAGAGGGCTCCTATACCGAGACAAAATTATTGTCTTGGAATAAGTCTGTATTAATCTGCACAACATTGTGGAATTATAATTTTTTTTACACAATGCAAAACCCTCATTTCCAAACAGGAGGACCTACAACCTAGACTGTTGGCACGTTTATATTCCATTCCAATTGGGTATCTGTACATCAGACCTCATCTTCAACTGTGAATTCATCTGGAAACGCACTATAAATAATCATGTGCCAGGTAAGGAACTAGGTGTTGCAACATTTCACACTGTTCTGAAGTGTAGCTGCAGTTCAAGGTTCCCGAAATAGAGAGCACATGGCTGAGCTGTTGATATTAAACATCTTTGTTCCTAACTGAAAGGCAGGGTTGCTTTTTGTGAGGGATATGAAGTGTATCTCACTCATTTGATAAATGTGTCATGATGCCATCAGTGTCATCGTCACCCCTCTTACATGCCCTGCTGGAAGGAGACCGCCCACTGAACTTCCACATGCAGTCATCCAGTGTGATCCAGCATGCTCCCGAAACCACTGTTTTATACAAGTCCTTCTGGGCCTCTTTAGATCCAGTTTGGTGGTCAAATGCTGATCTGCTCTTCTTGTTATGAGCCCGACCCATTGTTTCTGGGTCTCTCCACAGTTACAATCATGACATATGGGACACAGATCCTCAGTTGACCTTCAGTTCGTTTGTATTTCTCTCTCTTCTTCTTATTCTGAATCTTTGCTGAAGGATTTGCTGTGCTTCCCTTTTTTAATCCAAGGATCGGGTCTCACGTCCATGAATGTAAAAGGTGGAAACACAAAAAGCTCTCTACTATAGAATCTGACTTCTCCTTCCATTGAAGAACACATTTTGGAAAGGTGGGGGTCTATACTTCCCTATAAAGATGAAAGATTCCCTGCAGTTAATAATTTGAACTGCATGCATTCAACAAATTCTGCAGAAGCAGCACTTTAAATGGTTAATTAAAAGGCTAAAAATAGTCTACGGCCTTTTCCTTCATTGTTTTTTTTGTGAGAAAATCCTAAAATAAACAGAACATTTTAAACAAAGAGTCCACAGCTTTGGACCAGATGAGAATTATCGCAGCTAAAAGCTATGTCATCTGATGATCACAAGAGGCTTTGAACCACCAGATAGAGTCAGGCCTTTTTATGTTTCATAAAAAACCAACAGCCTCTGGATGGCTACCCAATTGCTGTGGCAAGATTTTTTTTCCTTGCTCACATGTTAGCAACTGTGAAGCAGTTCTTCCACACTCACACACAAACCAAAGTCTGATGGTCTTTCTCTCATCTCCCATTTAATTGCCCCTGGGCTCGTTAGGTCTAACTGACATAGACAGTGTTGGAGGGAATGGCTGCAAACTCCAGAAGAAGCTGCTGGGGGCATGTTTTGCATGAGCTCTGGTGAAAGGCTGTCTTGGAGGGGAAAGGAGAATTTTCAAATTGCTCTCATGTATCAGCTGATAGATACAGCTGTGCTTAATTCCTCTGCTCAGTGTGAAGAGACAGCTGCAGTGAGGCAAACCCAGCAGGTTGAGGGGGCGAAGACCTCTGTACGGAAATAAAGACGTTCCTTCCCACCCTGGATTCAGATAATCAGATTATTTCCCAGCCTCTCAGGAGGCTTGTGTTTCCCTTCCTAAAAACACACTGAATCAAGGAACAAGAGGAAGGTGATTGATCATAATGTGAGTAGTGAGGAGTTAGCAGGTCGCCTGAGTGTTCTTCTATCACCAGATTCCACGTTTGCCACACAGTGCCATCGATGCCATCGTCCAGCTGGGCATCCGCAATACAGCACTCTGTTCCTCTCCTGTCCTTTTTCCTCTAAATAGGATGAGCGTCTGTGCCTCACTGTTCCTCTGAATGAGGTGATATCTTGCCAAGCAGGAACAATCGTCCCCATTGTGCCCAGTGTCTGCTGTTTGCCAAAGACAGCCTTCACTTTATAGACCCTTTCTCTTCATTGCGATGTGGCACATGGGGAGTTTGTGTTGTCGTCTTTGTGGCTGGAGCTGAGTGAGAAACAGGCAGCCCCTGTTTTGATGCCCTGTAGCTTTTTTTTTTCCAAAGAACGGCTTTTAACTTTTTCCAGTTTTAGACTTTGCTCATCTTTTAGATTCCTGCTGTTCACGCGCCCATCCTGTGCCTCCTGGTGCCCAGACATTGTGGGGGATTTGCCTAAAAAAGCCTCATTACTGTGAATGAAAACTAAAGGAAATTCTTAACATACTGTATCTCTTATTGTGTGTTCATTTTATATACAGTATATACAGTAAGCTAGAACTTATCATATGTACCTATGATATATATATATATCATATTTTAAAATGATTATTTACTATACTGACATTTATCTGCTGAAGATCCTATTTGGTAGTACATCACCATGTTAGTCCAGTTTTCTTTCTGTCTGTTATTTTATGTGTTTTTCTTTGACGAATACAAAGATGAAATAACTTTGGATGGCTATGAACTCAGGCAGTCAAGCTCAATGCTGACTGCAAAGCCTGCTTTTACTGCAATTACACAGCTGCTGGTTGCAGACATGCTCTACAATAGTGTGGTGTGCAGTTATGTGTGAATACTCTCCCAAGTCAGCAAACATTTCCTCTCTCGACACCCTTATTGTTCTTCCACGGACTGTAAAGGTGTTGGAGCATTCATCCTATTCAAGCTTTTAGCAAACCCCAATCCAAGTCTGTTGGGAACTGACCCTCTGGACAGAAATAAACCTACATCGTCTTTAAAAGACAGAGCTCAGGAGCTAGCTCTGCGTGAATAATGCAAATATTAATCGTGGGTGTGAGAATAAATGTACCTTTTGACTGGATTGCCTATTTCAAGACAAGGGCAATCGATCACAGATTATTTGACATGTGGATTGCTGTGTCTGGAGTGATTCCTGCCCCTTTCCCCTGAAGGCTGTGACTTTCTTACAGGGGGTTGTAAATTACAGGTTATCAAGGTCACTCTGTTTCTTTTTCTGCCTTGCTCAAAACAAAACCATTACTCAAAGAAAATCAATTGACATAATTTAAGTTGGGCATCTAGCACAGCATGGTCACAGCTATTTTGTTTTCTTGAAGGCTATTTTATTTGATCAGTTCTGCCTTTTTGCCTAGCTTTGCAAGCTTGTTGATATTTTTTTTAATCAAATCAGCAAAAATAAGAAGGACAGGAAGCCAAGAATGTGCATGCATAGTCGTTATTGAGTACAGGAGAGGTAAGACGAGCTCGTGTAATTCTTTTCTAGAGCTCATGGTTTAGATGAATTATTCAAACACATTTGTGCCGCAATCTGATTCTGGCTACATTTCCCAATGTGGGAAATCAGTAACTACCGTTAGAACAGGTAGCAAAGTGGCCTTTAACTTGTAATACCAGAGATGTGAATTTAAAAATGTACTTGATAGTTTCAGGTTTTTATTGTTCAGAATTAGGGTGTGTTGTTCAAGATGAACAGTGAGTAAAAATAACTGCCAACTGACAAGTCTCAACCTTTCCATTTCTTCTCCTTGGCACATTTTAATTAACTTTTACATGGCACAGGAAGGCATATTTCTTGAGGGATCTGTGCTGCATCTTTCTGGGTGATGATAAACTATTCGCAATTGAACTACCTCTACTGGCAGATAATTCAAATCTACTGAGCTATGCTTTGAAGGCAACATCACAAAATGCATTATTTTAGCATTAGTTTTTCTCTTCATATGTTTGTTTTATTTAAATGGCTTTGTGCTTTGTTTTGCAAAAGATCTATTTCTATATGTGTATTAGTGTTAGTATCATATAGTGAAAGCCTGTTGTAATACTGTGTGTACATGCTGTGTTTCCTCTTTGTTTTCCTCAGCAAACAGATTATTCCCAGAGTGTGTGATCCCAGAATACCCTTTGGAAATCAGGGGAAAAAAAAGGAAATCTTGTTTCATTTCATGTGGCGATGTTAGTTTTTCACAATAGTCAACTGATTAATGCAAACCATCAGCCAGTAGCCATCTTTCCGAGCTGCTCATCTCTTTGCACTGATACTGGTAAGTTGGACTGTAAAAGTAAAGGTGCCCTTGAGAACTTTGGCGAGACCATTGGGAGTCACTTTGTGTCTTCTTCACAGAGCAGAGACTTGTGCATAGTGCCTGGAACCCGAGTGCACCGCTGCTGTCAGTGTTGCTATGTTAACAACTATGATAACTATGAAAATCTACTGCAGCTCAGCTCAATTCTAGTGTGCACAAAATACAGCTGAACCTTTCTTGATTGTTATAGTTTCCTAAGTGTCCTTTATGTGTACATATGGTGTGTAAGACAATTGAAAGAAATCAAATTTTCAAAGTTTTTATTTCCTCATTCTCGAGGACCGAGTTAGGGTTAGGCTTAATATAACTGCCAGTCTATGGTTTAGTTTGAGAGTTAGGAAGAGTTAATGTTTCAACAAGGATTGGGGTTGAGGTTAGTGTATGTTTAGGGCTGGGGTTACAAACATAAATTATCTGAGGGTTATTACAGTCTTGGAATAATGTCTACATTATGTCCCATTTTCTAGCATTACAAATGTTGAAAATCTGTGGCAAGACTTGAACATTGTTGCCCATCAGCAATCAATCCCCAACCGACCTGTCAGAGCTTGAGAAAAAGGAGCGAAACGGGTACCACTCAGGAGTAAAACACTGGTAAGACTCAGAATGGCTCACAGCTCGATTGCTGTGACATTGACTCGGGGGAGAACATACTGCAGTTTTTTATTTTCCTTTGTGTTTTTTTACTGAAATTCGACTTATTTCCCCCTTAAAACTGTGCAGCTTGCGCAACAGAGTTGTCATTAAGAATACTTGCTCTAAAGAGACGCGTCTACCTCACCTGTAATTCAACAAAATGGGACTGGGTTGAAAAGGGGTGAACACGTACGCTAAGCACTAGAGATGTGTACTGTGTGGGCTCTCCTTGATTTCCTTCTGGAGATGACCCCTCTGGCTCTGGAGCCTCAACCCTCTTCTGCGTGCAGTACAGGACTGGTGAGGTGAAGTGTGGGTCTTTGCTCATTGGTGCCTGCCTGTCCAGCACAGCCCTCATTACAGGACCACTAACACACATGATGGAACCAGCCCTCAGCTCCTCCCCCTTTTTTCTCCTGAATGCAGCACATGAGCGACCTATTCACTAACACAGCCCAGGTGAGTTGGATGGAGCCCAGAGGCTTTCTCTGAGTTCATTCTAGTGGCTGCGGGGATGTGAACCGGGTTTATACACTAATACAGGAAGTCTCTCAAAGAGAAAGTCAAATATCCTTTTATGAGGATTGAAAAAAATGCACCACAACATAATGACACCTAAGAAAGAAAGAAATATGTAGTGCTGGGATCCACGTATATTTTTGTTTTATGCTATTTTTGGAACATTCCTCTGAAGCGTGCAGGGCAGTGTGGGGCTTTCAGAGGTGTTTTTTTTTTTTTACACCCAGTGCTTAACCTGAAAAAGAGGGGCAGGCAGGAGCCGTAGAGATTCACAACGCCAGAATCAGAATCACAACGGGTCCCAGTCCTACTGGGAAATGGAGTAGGGATCTCAGTCGAACTGGGAGCCCAGTGTGTGATCTCCTGTCCCAGCCTGAGGAACAGTGAGCCTGTCTCCCTATAATGCTCAATGTTTACAGTATATGTAAATATTTTATGATATGTTTTTGTCGTAAATGTCTTTAATATGTCTGTAGATTTTATTTTAGTTTTGTTTCGTGTTAATTTTATTTTTATTTGCCTTGGCAACACTGATTGCACCCATCGGTCATGCTACTAAGGCACCCTGAATTGAATTGAAATGGCATAAAGTCGTAAAGAGAGCATCTTATCTCTAACCCCTTCCCAGACTGGCCTGGCCCCGACTCCAGCCCCCTCACAAGCGCTGGGCTGGCCCTGCTGCTGGCCACTGTGCTGAGGAAGAGCTGAGCGTGTCCGTGAGGCAGTAGCAGCAGCTCTCCACAATAACAGTGTTGACGTCAACTGAGCCACAGTCTCCCGTTGGAGATTGAGCTGCGAACTGCGAGAGAGAGAGAGGGATAGAGATAGAGAGGACTGGAGGGGATAGACTAAGCGGCGGTGGCTGAGGCAGCCATCTTAGATTTTTGCCGAGTTTACAGAGAATACATTCCCGGATTTTTTTTTCCATGCACTCCTTGAGAAAATACGTTTTGATTTACCAGAAATAAGGACGCCACTCGTTTGTTTTTTTTTTATTTTGCTTCCATTTTTTGTGTAAAAACGACATGCATTTCCGAAGACATAAACCTCCAGCATCTGTAGGCTGGCTGGTCCTTGGATTATTTTTTGCGGTAGAGGCAGCGAAAGGTAAGCTTTAAAAAAAAAAAGCGACTGAGATTGTTCCCCCACTTGATTCCGACTACCCGCGACTGAGCTTGCCTTGTTTTTGATGTCTAAATTCTGGGGTCTTAATCGGCACGTCGTTTCAGCCATATTTAAGGTTGCTTTCGTGAGCTGAAGGATGCTTTTGCCTTCCCATAAACGAGAAAGCGTTCACACGATTTTATTGTAATGTCGCAAATGCAGTGTTATCCCTTTTTCCTATGTACTCTGTTAAAAAAAACGCCTCATCGAGTCGGTGAACTTGTTTATGTTACCCTTGAGTTAAATATTTCCCCCAACAATAAATCCGCTTAAAAAGTGGCTTCATACATCGTTTCTGGTGCAGGAATTAGTGGTTTTGTTAAAGCGGCTGATGATAATCGCAGTGATGAAGCTAGTTAGGGATACTCCCCGTTTTTATTTTCTGTTTTTCTGGGATAGAATCTTTTCCCAGTTTTCTCCCTTTCTACAATTCTAGTCTTTTTTTTCCTCGCGGGTGTTATGTATTTTTTAAGCATCGGTCTCAGTCTAAATATCTGCATAGCTCCGTTATTTCCACAACGTTGGTTTACGATGTTATATACAGGGGGTATCGGGTTCAAGGTTCAAGAGTCGTCATGTTACGCTGTATTAAAACTAGCAAGATTCGACCCCTATCCCGTTTAAACATTACGTGTATTTATTTTTATTGCCGGGCTAAGTTAGTCTCTCCCTGTGATCCACACAAATGCTTGTGTATCGATTAGTCTGGGAAAGCATGAAGCCCTTTTGAACATACGCATTGCAGATCCTTTGACAAACGCTGAGAGAGTGATTTAAAATTTTAATGGGCCACAATCGCTCCCATGGAAAAAAAACAAAACTTCTGAGAAGATCATAATTGTGGGCACTCAAGGTCATTAATTACCACCGACGTGTGGTTGGGTTAGATGCACCGGCCCGTTTTCTTCCGCCATTCATTAATTATTTTAAAAGATGAAAGGGCGTAACACATGAACATTCGCTTTTTAGTGACAGATGACAGTGCTGTTTTTTTTATCCAGCGATGTCTGCACTTTTAATTCGTGATTTCAGGCAGTATCTTGAGAAAACTAGCCGCACGTCCTCTGTGGCTGGTTTGTTAATGTGGGACAGCTATTCCATATTATTAGCCTCATCACACGTTGGAGTTCTCGTATGCGAGATTTCCCGTCGCGTAGTTTTATCATGGTTTTCAAAGACGGGAATAGATGTAGGGCTATTTTGTCAAAGTAGCTGCCTCGCTTGGAGCTGGTTTTGCGTTATGCATCAGGGTTTATGTTTCTCCCTTACGTTTCAGCCATCCCGGTAAAAAAAAAAAAGAGAGAGAAAGGAGGGGACCGCGGTTCACTGAAACAGTGTTTGGGCGGCCGGGGTGATGAGACACAATGTAGACGCAGGTTGTCTTTGTGGATCAAAGCAATGTTGCATCGCTGTGCTACTTCGGGTGCTGAAAAGCGAGGCCAGATACAGGCCGGGTCATGTGATGCGCGCTCGGCGCTGAGATCCGGTGCGGTCTGGCGCATCTTCAGCTTGTGCACCCCGGGCAGCCGTGCATCTTGAGCCGCTGTACCAAGCGGCACCGACACATACTGTAGGGTTTTAGTTCAGAGTGAATTAACAATATTTTCAATGCGCCTTTTGCTTTCCCTACCCTCCCCCCACCCCTCGAAACGGCGGTGTTGTCTTTAGGAATGCTGCGTTAGGAAACCGGGGATCGTGATTTAGGTGGTCTGCGTGCTGTCCTTAGAAATTATATATATATATTTTCCCCTCGGACCAGATCCGAATAGTTCCTCTGATCCGACGCAGCTGTTCACGAAGCCGTGATGGCGCAATGAATCTATCGATCAGCGAAGCTCTTACAGAAGGTACTCGTCGACGAGAATATTGACGTTTCATCTTATTAAAAAAAAAAGTCTAAGCCTTAAATCTTCAACGAGCAGCACCGACTCTGTTACAGATCTGTGTTCTCCAATGCAGTGACACAGCAGATCTGGTGGTTTCCAGAAGCAGTTGTGTTCTCTCTGAGTTTTGTTAAACGATTTAGTTAATTCGTTGCCCGATCGCCTTTTTTTTTAAAAAAAAAGTTTTTTAGCTTCTCAGGTGAGGGTGTGAGGTGCCTGGGTTTCAATAGGACACTCAGGGCTGGAATGATTTGTGCTAATCGTGGTTTGCAAATGCCCCACCCACTCTCCCTCGTTCTAGATAGATAGATATCCATGTCAGCTGCAGTTAACAAAGTTATCTCCCTCTTTCACATTGTAAAGTGCGTGGCTATAGTGCACTTGAATGGGCTACGAGCTTTAAAATAATGATACAGAAGATCTCCTGGTGATTTTCCATCTCTCCGTGTCGGAATATCTGATCCACTTCACATTGCACACAAGAAACTGAGAGTCGTACCCTGGGGGTACAAGTCGGCATTGTGGAAGCTGTCCTGCGGAGATCACTCCGCTCACTGGCGATAGGTGTTTATTTTGACAGTGGTAAGATTGGTCTGTTCTGAAAGAAGAGCAGCCAGACTAAAAATAAACAATAGCCCTTTTCTCTTTTGATGATGGGTAAAATTAAACCACCCTCTATAATCAGAACATTACTCACATAGGCGTGTGAGAGGGGTGTAGCCCAGTCTGAGACAGGCTGCATGGGTTTCTGTGCTTTGTTAATGCAGCAGGAGCTCAGGACAAGTTCAGTTAAAAAAAAAAAGGAAATAAAAAAACCTTGCTTTTTAACTGAACGTGTCTTAAGTTGGCCATGTCATTGCTGGGGCTTTTCAAACATAGGTAGTGGCGCAGTTCAAGTTGTACAGGAGGTCTTAATTGTTCAAATGCTCGTTGAAGGACAGAAAATAAGAATAAAATAGAATAAACCAAGTATATTTGTCAAAGATAGGTGCCTTTATCACCCCCAATGAAAACTGTATGAAAACCCGAATGCAGTGTCCTTGGATTGTCATTAGTCTTAGGAACACTTTCCCTCTGAACGCTCATCTGAAAGACTGGATGAGGAGAGACGAGCCATACCTTCGTCTCCTCTCGGATCGGCCAGCGCAGTTCCCCGCTGGACAACAGGGGCACATGGTTTCAGCCGGTGCAATCTGAGCACCGTCCCTGTTCTCCAGCCTCTGCACTGGTTCCCTGCTGAGGGCAGTGCTGACTGCTCCCAGGAGAGACCAACCTGCGGCCCTGCTGGTCAGAGGGCCTTACATTCCTCCTCAGACCCTCTTCCGAGATCTGAGTCTTTGGAGACTCTTCATACCCTGCTGTAGTGTGCATCTTCGTGTCTTGTTTCCAGGGTGTGTGCGTGGAGCTTCGGGTTGTCCTAATGCAAGGTGCTTTATGAAATAAGGACTACTGTTAAGGTCAGGTTTATCAGCTCCACTGAGGGAAATAGGTCAACAAATGTCTACTTTCTGTTTTGCATTTCAAAAATGTGATTTGAAAAATAAGGTCCACGTCAGTTGTGGAGGGCCACACTTAACGCTTTTGAAAGGAAAAGTTTCTTAGCGCAGTTTTCTGTTTCTCCAGAAAAAATGTTCCTCTGTGTCCAGTCAGCGGACTGTGTGATTTAATTTGACAGGAATCCGAGCTGGTTAGAATCTTGGCTTAAAATTGTGGTGGATTCCAGGTCTGGGTTTCTTTTCTAGAAAACGGTGGTGGTATTGTTTCCTCTCGTTATTTCCCAGAAGGCTCCAGGGTGTCGTGCAGTTATCGCCGTGGGTTTTATTTGGGTTAATGGGAGCGCAAGCCCGGTCATGTGACTGGGCCAGCGCACATTGTGTGCTCTGTGCTGTCTCATCTCCTATCTCTGTTCCCGAAAAAAGGGATGCAGAGATAAGGCCTGGAGATATGTTGTGTCATCATGGGGAAAACTCGAGCTATGAGAAGTCCACTGACAAAATTCTGTCTGGCTGCTGACTGAGCAGTTTTGTTCAAGTGGCAGGATTTTTTGTTCCTGTAAATTGGCTGTTTTGGAATGGGTTATGATTAATTGTGCAGTGGGCAAAGAATTATCAGAGAATAATACTTCATTTCACTAAGCACTTCATTTGTACATATTATGTTTTGAGAAAAGATATGTGAAATTGCTGAATGATAGTAGATGTACAATGTACTTCTCAGTAGTTTTAAAAGTTAATTCTTACGATTTTTTTTTAAAAGCTAAGGGCAGCAGTAACATTTGAATTTAATACTGTTACCTCAGTTGCTGAGTTCTAGGTTTGATTCCAGACTGCGGCACCTTTACTGTGGAGTTTGCATGTTCTCCATGTGCTCCTGTGGGTTCTCAGTAGGTCCTTCTGTCTTCTCTCACCATCTAGGTAAATTGGTATCTTTAACTTCTATGTATCTGTGCACCCTATATCCCATATAGGGTGCAGTCCCTCCTTATGGGAGTTTTGAGAGAGAATCAGGCTTCTCACAAACCATGCCAGGAGCAGAAGGCTTTCTATTAATGGACAACTTATGTATTTTCAGAAGTCATTGTTCATTTTTATGTTTTGATTTGTTTTTCAATCTCTGCTGTAAGGGCAGTAGCAAGGCAATGATTATTTAGTGTTTAGTGACATATACTTGAACAATATCATCTTAGAGAATTGTTGAGATTAAGTGTTTACTGTAATCAAAGCATGTCCATAGGATTTTTTTATTAGATGGAACAAGGCGTCGGTTAATCCTACCTATGAGACAGCAGTGTATCAGCGTTTTAAAAATTGCCTGCAGTTCCCTCTTTAATTCAACTAGTGAAGCTATTTGTCACATCTTACCCAGGGGTGGTATAGTAGAGTAAGTGCTGTAGGTGTCCTCCTATAAATAAAGCAATTTCTGATCCTTTGTGATAAAAAATGTATTGTAAATGCTGCTAGTTAGATTTGTTTTGTCCCTCTTTTTTATACTGCCACCTTTGTCTGTCCTGAGTTTTGATGCCTGTTTATAAAGTGTGTTAACGCTAAGATTTCTGTATCT